GAGAGAGAGAGAGAGAGAGAGAGAGCACAAGCAGGAAGGGCACAGAGAGAATCTCAAGCACACTCCCCGCTGATCGAGAAGCCCAACACCGGGCTCAATCCCACCACGAGATCACGACCTGAGCCGAAACCAAGACTCAGACACCCCTGAGTGGGAGCTTTTGAAGAGCACTGCCTGTGTCTACTATCTTTCCTCAGTACAAGGCTCCATTTCCTTGCTTGTTTCCTCCCCTTCTTTACCAGTCCCAGTAACTGCGTAAACTCAGGGCATGTACAGAAAAGGAAACCGCAGGCCCTGCATCCCATCACTGACACACACTTCTGGTACGCACCTGGATGTATCGGTGGTGGTGATGGGCCACACAGGTTAAGCAGTATTTTCATCTTATTCTTAGGCACTTCAAGTGAAAGCCCCCCAAAACGTAAATCAAACCGCTCTACCACCTATTACCCACGTAATCTTGGATAAACCACCTGAATGCCCTCACTTCTAAACTGGGAAGAATAGAGTTCCCTCCTGGTAGGATCGTCAAGACGAACAAGATAGTGCATGTAAAGAAAATGGACACGTGCCTGGTACGATATAAGCATGGAATGACTCAAAAGATGTTAGCTATCACTGTTATTAGCAAGTCCCCATAAAAGATCTGAGCAGCCCAGAAATCGAGATTTGCCAAATACCCTATTTTTAGTTCAATCCAAACAATCTAGTTTACATCAAAGGTGTCCTGTCCAGCCTCGTCGTGTCTCCCTTCCTGCCTGGAGCCCTCCAACCGACTCACCTGGGCCAGCTGGTCCTCAGCCAAGACAGTGCCTCGCTCCTTATACTTGGCCTGTCAGACAAAGAGACCAGCGTGAGTTGAGGGTGGGCGCTGAGGGCTCCCACTTGTACTGCCTCCGACGAAGTGTGAAAAGAGGAGGGTCTCTCTTAAATGGTTTTTCTTAGGGAGAGGGATGAAGAAGTAAAACAGACGGCTCGTCTGCAGTCATATTTGGGGACGCGGGGGAAAGGGCTGGTGGATCTGGGGATGCTGACATCCCAATCCACCGGAAGCTGAAGAAACTCCGTTCCCCGGGACCCGAGGAGCCCGTGCCAGATTCTGATGGGGCGCGATTTGCGGGTACAGAGCTCTGCTCCGAGACTTTCGGTCTCTCTCGGGTCGGGGATGGCTGTGGGTCGGTCTTCTTCCCCTCACCTCGGCAAGCTTCTTCTTGGCGATGGCGCCGGCTCCCACCCCGCGGCGATGCATCCCCGCCCTGGGCCCGGAGGCCGCCCCGCTGCCGGGACCCCGGGTCTCCGCGTCCCGGGATCCGCCGCCGGCTTCCAACGCGGAAGCGCCGGTCGCGCGTCATCTCCGCGCGCCGGAAGCTACGCGCCGACTTCCTGCCGCGGGGCAGAGCGGCCCCGCCTTCCTCTGGTGGCCGGGCGTGGAGAAGCTCGGCGAAGCCCGGCGGCAGGGAGGACGGGCGAGCGCGGACGCGGAGCCGCGGCCTCGTTGTCGGCGGCGCGCTCCCCACCCACGTGGGCGCCTCGGACCCTCGCGTGTTAGCGCGGCTGCCGCCCGCCGGCACCCAACCTCCGGCTCCCAGCCAGTGCTCACCGCCGCCTGCTCTGGGCCAGGCGCTGAGT